TCCTCCCCTCACTGCATTCTGTTTCACCAACACTCCTGCCACAGGGCCTTTGCGATGGCAGTTCCTACAATCTGAAATGCTTCTCCCACGGCTCCTATTCTTCCAGCTCTGTTTCTTGTCACCACCCTTCCCACCACCCATCTTAAGTAGGTCCCTCTTCCTAGCAGCACCGTTTGTTCACTTTATAGTACCGATTATATTTTATATAATTTGAAATTGTATATTCACTGGCTCATTTTTCGTGGGTTTTCCCCACTAGACCAGAATTTCTGGAGGGCAGGGGCCATACTGTCATATTCACCACTTTATTCCAGGTGCTTAGCATAAAGCCTGGTACATAATAGGCATTAATTAAATATTCTCTGAATAAACTGAATGTACGGGAGGTGCTGCCAGAGGAAGTGTTAGGAGTTAAAGCTGATTCTACTCAGCCCCATGGCGTCTCCACTTACAAACAGCAGTCAGATCAGTTTTTCCCCAGGAGTTCAGGAACTAGGACAGTTCCCCCAGCGCCTGGGTCTTTCCTCTCTTTTGGGAAAACTCTTCCGGCTTGGCCCCTTCTAGCTGTCCCTGGGGCTGCCCCTCCAGGAACCATGGGTCGGTGGCCAGCGTTCACCACCTCCCACTCTTCATCAGGGTCCCTGGGTTGCTTCGAAGCATGGCTCAGCCCCAACAGTGCCTACTGGTTGGGGCAGGGGAGAGGGGCATGGAATGAAGAGAGAGTATGTGGCTTGGGACTCAAAATGGGGCGAAGGGAGTCTGAGGAGGCAGCTCTTGCACGCATTATAATATCCATAAAGTAAATGCAAATTAACTGAAAGCACCTTTTGAATAAGCAGCTTTTATTGAGGGAGCTGCTCTAATCCCTAAATGGCTTTATTGACCGAGAGGAGCTTCCTAGCAGGGGAGGGGGTGGGAAATGTGAACACGCTGTCAGGAATTGCTCCGCAGCGCCCTTGTCCCTGTGCTTTTAGATTCCAGACATGCATCTTGTGGCTAATGGAACTTGCAGATCTCTAACCTCGGCTTCTACATTCCGTTCCCCTCCCCCACCGGTCTGGGAAGCCTGGCTTCTGGGTGTGCAGGAGGCTGAGGCTGCTTGCTGGATGCTGCAAGATGAGGAGTGAATCTCAGGGATGGTAAGCAAGAGAGCAGCTACAGCTCTGTGGCTCTCTGGTGTAACTACCCCTGAGCACATAAAATGTGCCTGTGAGTAAAGGGGGTACATAAAAGGACATAAAAGGGTGTGTGCACACACCCTTGGGAATAAGCATCAGAGTGTCTGTGTCTGTGCAACTGTGTATATCTCTCCCTACAGTTCCGAAGGAGGTCTCCAAACATTTGTACTCCTCTCCTCAGGTGGAGATGGGGGGCTAGCCTCAGCTGGGGAGTCATACTTTTTCAAGGACTAATGACTTTTACCTGAATGATAATGAACTGATGACACATGGAGGCCCCTGGGCTCTGGAGGGAAGCCAGAGAAGAACAACTAGGGAAACAGGAGAGGTTGGCCAGGTTTGGGGGCTCAAGGATCTTGTCTCTCAGAAAGCCCACTCCAGCTCTGTTCAGATTTTAGAGAATGAGGGGCTGGAGACAAAGGAGGCCCAGGACATGTTAGAAGCATCAATATTCCCAGTCTGGCCTGCATGTCTCTTCCTGAACCCTGCTTTCTTCCATTCTCTGCTTTGCGCTCAAGCTCAATCTCTCTCTCTCTCTTTCTCTCTCTCTCTCATCTTCCCAAAGCACTCACCTTGGCAATGGAACTGTGAAAGAGGAGGCTGGCTATTCCATTCTCCCAGGCTCAGCCTCTCTGACCCCCAAGCAAAGCCAAGTCCTGCCCAGAAATGGAGGAATGTGGCCACTCCTCAGTATCAGATGCACAGAATTCTGAGATGGACAGGTTCACATAAGCAGGCCTTGGAACACCAAAAACTGGAAAGCTGTCCCTTTGGACATGGAACCTGTCAAGGCTAATTGGCCCCAAGGATCTTTAATAATGGATTTAGGACCAGGTGAGTTGTCACCGGGGAAAGGAAAGGAGAGTTCAGAAACTTGCAGAGCATGGACACTGGAGGGACCTGGATTACAAAGCAGAATCTCTTCTCATTGGTCAGAAAAGTGACACCCCCCCTTCTAAAGGTTTCAAGTGGAGCAAAGGGGGCCGTTTTACTGGAAAGTTCCTATCCTACACTCTACTGCCACCAAGAGCAGCCATTTCTCCCCAAGCTGGACAGATAGAGCCCCCTTAGCACAGCCTGACACACAGTAAGTGTTCAATAAATATTAGCTGTTGTGAATAGCCACATAATTTCCGGATAGCAAGTCTCTGAGGCTGGTCCCTACAGAGAAGGCTGAACCTCTAGGACCCTGGGAGTCAGGAAGGGTGGAGGCCAGTGGAAAGCAGGTTTGGTGCCAAGATGCTCAGCTGGAAGACCAAGGAGTCTGGGACCCTGGCCTCCATCGTGGCCTCTCATTCCCCTGCCCTGGCCTCCCAGGACCTCTGTCCTCCCCTGCAGGGAGTCCTCCCTGTGTCCCAGGCAGGCCCAGTGACCTCTCGCTCAAGTCTGCAAATACATTCTTGGCGAGTCTTGGAAATGAAATTGTGCTCAACATTTGTATGGGGCTTTTCTGCCGCCCAGCCCTTTACAGACATTAGCTAATTAAATGGAGGAGGAGCAGAAGGAGGAGGGCCTGGCCTCTGTAGTTGGGACTCTAGGCCCTCCTGACCTGAGCAGCTCCAGTCTCATTCCTCCCTCCTTCTTTCCCTTCAAGGTTGGACTTAGTTTAAAGGGGAAGCAACTCCTGGGGAGCTGGCCACTGAGGAAGAAAGCAAGGGAGGAGGGAGTTTGGCAATATATCGAGTAGGTTGGTGTCTTCCTGAGGTCATCGTGTCCCACTGCCAGCCAGATCCAGCAACCGGCTGGGTCTGAAAATGCAGTGATACACATCTGCCATGAATGGGTCAGCCACCTTCTCCCCCTTTGGAGGAGGGCATGAGGACAGACAGATAGTACTTAGAGCCAGAGTAGATTGTCAGAGATCCTTCCCAGAGGGCTAAGGGATGCAGGGCACACAGATGTTCAGCCTGGTCTAGGGACAGGACAGGCCACTCAGATGACCTGGGAGTCACAAAACTGTACATCAGATCGTACCCTGGAGAGAAGCCCATAAACCTCTGCCCCCTCATTCCCTGCTCTTGCTTTCCCTGAGGGTTGGAGGGGAGCCATCCCAGTTTCAGTGGAATTTCTTGCACTGTCTACTCCCCATCGCAGACCCTACCTGTGCCAGAAGTAAAACCCATGAGGGAGCTGCCTTCCAGTGGACAGCAAGTCTATTCCCACCTGGGAAGGAGAGAAGGGGAGAGATAGAGAGAGAGAAAGAGAGAGAGAGATAAAGAGAGATAAAGAGACACACAGAGATAGACATAGAGATATTGATCCTGGACTAGGACAGAGGGAGAAAGACCAAGAGAGAAAGAGAGATCAGTTATAGAGACTGGCCAAATAAAGAGGCCATATTTCAGACTCAGACTATAGGAGAAAAGAAAGGAAGAGGCCCAAAACAGAGAGGGGGGCGGGGGGAGAAACAGTTCCACAGGTGACAATGGTGTCAAGATTAAGGATTTCTTGGCACAGCCAGGGGCAGCCCCATGTAGGAATCCCTTAGGAAGCCTAAGAACTGCCAGAGGCCCCTGGAAGGAGAGCCACACCTCTGTCTCTCTCACCCAAGGACAACATCTGCAGGTACCCACCTCAACTATGTGGCAGGTGTGCATTTGCCTCCTTGATCCCATCACAGGGACTACAAGCCTGAAGGCTTGGCCCCTTGTCCCATGGTGAGTATATCCAGGCCCCTCCCCAACGCCTAGGCCTGCTCCTGCCCACCCAGATCCCATCAGTCTGCCTGGGTTCTGACTGGGGAGTCAGGAGTACTGGAGGCCCCGCAAAGTCCAGCAGAGTAGGGCCTGACCTCCCCTTACCATAATTATCTGTCTCATAAAAAATAGGCAGTGAACTTCATAAACCAATTAACATTTCAGGGCCAGGGTACGGGTGCAACCAGAAGTCCAAGCAGCTCTGTCTGACAACAGTGGGAACCAACTCCAAGGGCAGAGCAGCACAGGGCCATGCCAGTGAATGCTCCCCTCCGCCCCGCCCCCCACTCAGGCCCAGCCTCAAAAGCTACGAAGCTCCTGTGGAGGCAACAGAAGAGGCTGAGGTAAAACCCAAGGAAGGACTGTCTGTGTGGCTGGTAAGGGCAGCAAACACGGGGATAGATTCTTCCCTTTTGTGATCGGCAGCCCAGCAGAGCTCGTTCCTCCCTCCACAGCCCTCTCTGGTTTTAGAAAGCCTCAAGAGCTTCCCAGCAAGTTACCAAGGCAACGAGAGCCCAGCAGGATTCACAGTGACAATGGAGAGAAAGCAGACTGACAACAGCCCCACATCTCAGGGTGAGCAGGGAGGCAGAGGCTTTGGACCAGAGCAAACATCCTCTGCATCCCTGTTCAAGGAACTGTTTTCCTGCAGTTTGTGAGTTTACACGGCCCATTACCAGGTGGGTGAGAAGACGGCATTAAAGCTTCCCTCACTGCCCAGTGGGAAGGGGCGGTGTCTCTCCCACAGCTTCCCATAATGGCAGATTTTGTAGCTCATGGCCCAGCTCATAAGCCAGGGTACCTCTGCTTTTAAAGGCCAATGGGATTCTCTTCCATAACCTCCTGTCCTCGCCATGATGGCCTCCTTGGGAGGTTGCTAAGGAATTGTGGCTTCAGGCTGCTTTGGAATCACACAGAAGCGAGTTTGGCTCTTGGCTCGGTCACTTTCTGAAATCCAGTGACCTCAGGCAAGTCACTTCCCTCAGTCTGTTTCCTTAGCTGAAAATGGGGATAATATGATGAACTGTCAGGACTTGATATCATATATATATATATAATATGCTTGCACAGGGCCTGGCACTGGATCAGTGTAAAAAACATTAAAGCTGTTAAATTTTTCTCATTCATAATACTACTTTAATTTTTATTATCATTAAGTGGGTGCCTAGTTTACTCATCTATAAAAGAGGGATCACAATTCAGTGACTCGTTTGAAGATTACACAAGGCAAAGCATGTGAAATGCTTAGACCAACACTTTATCTATAGAAAGTGCTCAATGAACAGTAGTTGTTATTTTTGATTCCTGTATCCCTCTTCCCCTAAAGCCTCAGATTATATATCAAGGAGCCATTACTGAGATGGCCCAAACTCCTAGTTCCTTAAGCAGTAGGGGCCTTGAAAATGAGGCTTCTGGAATCACAAGGGTTGGAGTGGTCCTTCCCAGTGGCCATGCCAGTGAATGCTCAACTTGCTTCTGGACCAGGAATGACTTTGACTTCTGCACTCCTTCATTTCCATCTCAGGAGCCTGAGCTTCTGTGTGATTAGCTGATGTCCAGCTAATGCCTAGCATCCTGCAGAAAAGGGGAAAAGGGTCATTTAGAATGGAAAAAGGTTTTATCTCCGCACAGAGGGTCAGATGCCAGGCTAGGGGAGGGGACATCAGAGAATGGATGAGAGGACCACGTGGGTGGGGCTACAATCCCTCTTAAAGGCATCTGTCTTTTGTCCATTGATCCAGCTGAGATCTCACTTCCGTGAGTTCTTGGATATGGCTGAGTCAACTGCAGACTGATAACCAAACTCTCAGATCTTCCTCCCTGACCAATATCAACGGTCTTCGGGGGCCATTCACACTTCTGACCTTTGAGACCAATGAATAAGGCTACTTTGTGACGCAGTCTTCTTCCTGTCAGCCTGCTCCACACATCTGTGCCTCACTTGTCCAACAGTGTGAATTGCACAGTGGGTGTCCCAGGGGTCTCCAAGGTGTGCCACAAGCTAAAGGGTGGGCTAAGACTGCAAATGGAAGAACTTCACGTGAAATCTCAGAGAGTGTCCTAGTTGACAGAGTTGGGAGACATAGGGAAAAGGCTACATGCAAACTACAGATTTTGCTTCTCGGCAGACTTCCAATCAAAGAAGATCCCATCCCTAACCTCAACTGCCCTGGAGAGCTTGAGAGTGAATGACTCCATGGGGGTGGGGTGGAGCTGTGGGGTGGAGCTGCTCAGGACCCCTAAGATATTAAGGAAAGTGAAGTACTTCTCATGCTGGACCCAGCCAGGGCCCCCAAAACTGTCTTTGTCTTTCTCTTCCTCTTACCCCCTTCCTCCGTATCCTGGAAGACCTATTGCTTTAATGTTCACAGCACCCCCGAGGCCTTGTGGGATGAGGTGGGGCTCCTGCAGAGCCAGACTCTAGAGAGAACCAGTGATTCTGGGTTCTGATGTTAGAAACCAGGTCTGAGGATGACTCAGTCATGTCCTTCCCCAGAATAAATTCACAGATTTGGGCCTGTGTCCTCAGCTCTGCTGGCAACAAAGCCTTTGTTTCCAGCCCAGAGATCCTATCTTCCACACCAGCCACCATGCCCTGGACTCTCCCCTCATTATTTGAACAGAGAAAACTTGGAGGTGCTAGAAGCTAAAGGCCAGGCTTTTCTTCTGGGGCTATGTAACATGATACAGGTGTCACCCTCCCTGTGCCCATACATCAGTGCCCACACAGGCCCTGTTACTGGACAGGATGAACTCTTGAGGGCCAGTGGCTTTGGGATGACTAAGTAGGGATAATGAAGCCTGAGGGACACATGGAAAAGAAGCAGGAGCTTGGCCTTGGGAAGCTGCCCCCTTCCAAGGTTTCCCTGAGAAAAGTGGTTGCCCAGAAAGCCCCTGGTATGTCACCTTCAGGTCAGGAATGTACCACACCCCTGCTCAGCACTCCCTGCTTCACCCCACCTCTGACTCCTAGATATGTCCAAGAGGACAGATCTGAAAGAGAAAAAGGTTGTTTGTTTTGTTTCTGGTTTTTTTTTTTTTTTTTTCCCTTGATGAAGAACCTAGTAGGCAGGGCATGGGCAATAGCAACACAGATTAGGGGCGCCTGGGTGGCTCAGTTGGTTAAGCGTCTGACTTCAGCTCAGGTCACGATCTTGCAGTTGGTGAACTCCAGTCCCATGTCTGGCTCTGTGCCAACACAGCTCAAAGCCTGGAGCCTGCTTCAGATTCTGTGTCTCCCTCTCTCTCTGCCCCTCTCCCACTCGTGCTCTGTCTCTCTCTCTCTCTCTCTTTCTCTCAAAAATAAACATTAAAAAAATTTTTTTTAATTAAAAAAAAAATGGCAACACAGATTAATCTTGAAGTCATTGAGAAGAAAATTCAGCCCCCCAAAGATGGCCAAACCAGAGCTGGCTGCTAGGGACTATCAAGAGGCCAGGAATTACACTGTTCCCAAACTGGGACCCACCTGGGCTTGGCCATGGTTCCTAGATGGAGATTTGCCCTACAAACTGACCTCCTAGGGGCAGTTTCCTTCCAGCCCAAGGAGTCTCAGGGACAAGCTAGAAAGGCCTCTTCCTCAAGCCTCTCTCTCTGTCTGCCAAAAAAAGATTGCTTCCAGTTCCCAAAGGGCCTGCCCTGCTCACCCTCAGATTGACAAGTGGACAGACAAAATTTCCAGTGTTCTCAGAGTCCAGGCTAAAGACAGCAGCCCAGAATCCTCTCCTTGGGATGACCCAGCAGCGCCCCCTGCTGTCTGACTTGGCTGAAGCCAGTTCAGGGCTAGAGGAAGGAAGGAGTGTTAAAGCAGATTATACTTGTCCCAACAGAAGGGGCCATGCTTTATGTTGCCTCCCCTATACAATGCCAGAGCCTGAATCAGAGCTAGAATTCCCGAGGGGCCACTGAGGAGAGGAATGAGCAGAGAGTTGTTGACCTGGGGGAAAGACACAATGGGAACCTGTAGGGTCCCCCCCTGCAGTGGCCTAGGCTAGGGCCTCTGGGCACATGCACAGTGCTCTGAGGAGGGTGTCCAGTTTGCAGATGTTTCTGGCTTCAAGAGACAATTCATGTTCTGGAGCAAAATCAGTTGCCTCATCTGAGCCTCAAGAAAGAAAAGGCTGTGCCACACTCAGAGAATCATCTCAGTCAGTGTATGGTTGGACGGGGGGAGGGGGGGGTCTCTGTCAGCCTTGGGGAAGACAGGAGAGTTCTCCCCAACAACTCCCCCAGGTGCCAGTGTGACACATCCAAATTTACTATTGATTATACAGATCAATAGCTGTTTCCCAAAAGACCTCTGGCTCTATGTCTGTAAGCTCAGGAGAGACTTGAAGATTCTTCAGGTCTCTGTGGAGCTCCAACATTCTATGAGCCTATAGGATTCTACAGCCAATCCCTAGTGGTTGTTTTCTGTCCCAACCACACACTACTCCCTGCTCCCAGTTCTTTTTTTAATCTGATTTAAACCCATCTTGCTGCATCCTAAATAGTGGCAGCCAGGAGACAGGGGCTTCTTCCAACACTTCCCATTTTCAAGATCAGAGATGGAAAGACGGGGGAAAGAGACAGGACGTGGAGAAACTGACGAAAGAGGCAGAAGCAAGATTAAGGAGTGGAGAGATGACCAAGTAAGACCCAGCAAATATTTGAAAGAAACCAGTGACAGGCTGGCGAGGTGGGGAACAAGCCTCAACATTATGTCCAGTCATTCTCCCTGTAACATTTCATAGCTGCATCTCTGTGCACATGCGAAATGTAGGTGTAAGTGTACTCATGTGAACACTCACACACGCACTCACTCATGTACTCGCTCACCCTTAGATTGTGAGGAAGGCCTGGCTGGGTGTGGGGTCATAGGGGGTAGCAGTCCTCTCTTGCCCCCACCTGCATAATTATCTTCCCCTCTTCTCATCCCCCCTGCCTCCCAGCCTCCAAGCCTTACAGCACTAGGTCTTTGTGCTTTCAAAAGAGCTCCCTGCCTGAATGCCACCTCCAGGAAGTGCTGAGGGGGAGGATGGGAATGGAAGGGAGGAGAGCTAGTTCTCTTCCTTCCAGAGCACCACCCCATCAAACATTCCCCCTCTACCTCCCCTCCTCTCCACCTCTTTCATAACTGCCAACAACAGCTGCAAAAACAGCCCTCCTCACCCTGAGCAGTGGACTGCAGGGGTTTGTCTACTTCCCAGGGCAGGAGACAGATGGGGGCTGGGGTGGGGGGGTCTGGAGTAGCAGCATTCTCCGCAATGCCAATACTCTCTGCCTCCCTTCCCCCCATAAATTAAAGAACAAAAGGGAAAGAAAGCACTCCCAGTCAATCCCTCAGACACTTTGCACTTTGTGGTCATCTCTGCGGCCCCAAATCCCTGCCCAGCCTGCTACAACCCTGCCCTCCCAAGGTAGCCTTTATTCTCCAGACCTTGGAAAGTCACTCTAGGATATCTCGCCCAGAAAGACAGATCTGCTCTTGGAATTCAGGGAGACAGTGATGAATTCACCCACACACTAGCAACCTACTTCCATTAACTCTTATGTCCAAATAATTTCTTTAAATCACCAAGGATGAGGCTGGGAGAGGGGAAGGCAAGTCTGTGACATCAATCTTCAGTGGGGATTCCTCCTTCAAACCCAGCCAGAGCCAGGCAGGAGAAAAACCTAGCACACACAGACTCTGGGGCCTCCAGGGCAAAACAATGGAAATGAGACCTCAGCTCCCCACCCTACCCCCCCCCCCCCCCCCCCAGGCCTTCCCTGACCTAAATTCTTCCCACCCATCCTCTCTACCTTGCATCCTTAGAAAAACAAAACAGATAGGGGCTCACAGTAATCCTTCCTGGAAGTTTCAGGGCTCTGGCTGCTCCTAGGCAGGATGGGGCTGCCTCCTAGGAGCATCCTGACCCCTCAGGCAGACAAGAGAGCATCTCCTGTATAACCAGTATCCTGCGGGATCCAAAGGGACAGGGCATGAGAAGGATAACTAAGATCTGTGCTGCAGTTCCCAGTTTATCACTCATTCTCAAATTACCCTACTTAATGCCTTTATTTTACAGAAAAGGAAGTGGAGACCCAGAGGGGTCAATTTGCCAAAACTAGCAGCTAAAAAAGGGACAGATCCGAGTTAAGCACAAGTCTTCCAAGTCTACAGACGGCTTCAGGCAGATTATGTCCTGGTAGAAAAGGCAGCCAGGAAGCAGATGACATTTCAGTTGCTAAGTGTGCCTACCCTACCCTTGGCTCTAGAACACAGGATCATCAGCTCAGACCTACGATTCTAGCCCCTGCCCTGCTTATAATGCCTGCCTTGTGCAAGCCAGCCTCCAGCTGGGAGGTTCATATTTTGGGAATGGGCCAGGTGGGGCCCCGAAGGCAGAGGGTCAGAAAAGAGAAATGCTGGCATTTCTCCAGGTCCCAGGAGCAGGAGAAAGGATGAGAGCTGGGCAGACTGGCCTGGGCAGGCCATGTGGGAAGGCTGGGCTGTGGGAAAAGTGTACGTACAAGTGGCCTGGCAGAAACATGGCTCTGCCCAATTGGTGACTTGAGCACTTGTTCTTTCATCCATTCTCCCCATTGCTTTCCAAACTGCCTGCTTCAGATGTGATTCTTTCCAAATGGGCCCCCCTCCCCTGATGAAGGGACTGGCATGTAGAGGGATGCTGTGGACTGATTCTAACATCATAGTCTTCTTCCAGCAGCAGCAGCAGGCTGGAGAGCTGGCGGCCCAGACCACAACAGGAGCAGCTTGTGATGTTCTGTTCCAGCAGACTGGAGAGGGTTCCCCATGGCTCAGACCTGAGGCTGAGGAGCCAGGATGGAAATAGCGAAAAAGAGGAGGCTCCCAAGCTCTTGGCCAACCAGCTAGTTAACTGGTGGCCTGAAATACAGGCGCCTGTATGAGCTCTCCGTGCCTAGAAGGAGAAAAGTCAGCATTATCTATCCCTGTGATTCTGATGGCTATTGGGGCTCAGTGTTGGGGTTCCCATTAAAAATGTTCAGGGGTACCTGGGTGGCTGAGTCTGTTAAGCGTCTGACTGGGTCTCAGGTCATGATCTTATAACTTCTGAGTTCAGGCCTCACATCTGGCTCTGTGCTAACAGCTCAGAGCCTGGAGCCTGCTTCAGATTCTGTGCCACAGTCTCTCTCTGCCCCTCCCCCCACTTGCACTCTGTCTCTCTCTCTCTCTCTCTCTCTCTCCCTCTCCCTCTCTCTCACAAATACATAAACATTAAAAAAAAAGAAAGAAAGAAAAAAAATGTTTAATCTGTTTTAGCCCCTTAAGTTCGGAGAAATGAGGAGAGGGTGAACATGAAGTAGTCAATGGCACTTGCTGGCTCCCTTCATGCCTCTTAATAACGGAGACTTATGGGACAGCTGAGCGGCCCAGTAGGTTGAGCGCCCAACTTCAGCTTAGATCATGATCTTGCGGTTCGTGAGTTTGAGCCCCACATTAGGCTCACTGCTGTCAGCACAGAGCCAGCTTCAGATTCTCCACCCCTCTCTCTCTGCCCCTCCCCCACTTGTGCTCTCTCAAAAATAACTAAAACATAAAAAAAATAATAGAGACCCACCTCCTGTTTCAAGTGCTTCATTGAAGGGGTGTGTGTTGATGGGCCGGGGGTGGTATCTTTGCCTCCTAGCATTTTATGGAGCTGCCAGTAGTTTGAGTTATCTAGTAGGACCAAAAACATCATGAGATGTCAAAGAGAAGCAAGAGAAAAATACTTTGAGAATGGATTCAAGTCATGGCCTCCTGGCTGGGATCTGGTCACCCTTAAATGAAGGTACTCCAAATATTCCCTCTGTAGATCAAAGCCACAGAACCCAAACTCTTCAAGAGTGGCTGTAGAAGAAGCAGCAATATAGAACCACAGAGTCTTAGAGTTAAATGATTCTCAGGGATCCCCTAGATTCTAGGCCAAAGGCCCTCATCACCTATGCGGTGACAGAACAAAATAAGGGCTTTTGGATTTTGAAGGGGGAAGGGGGTAATGCAGAAGAGAGACTTTCATTCATAGGGGTACTCAATGAATGCTGAATGAAGGCCCCTGGTGCAGGAATATGTTTCCAAAGGAGCCTATTATCCTCGAATATGAAGACAGAGAAGGCTGGAGTAGGACTGAGGAGTCTTGCTATTTCAGCTAACGTTATCAGAGGGCATACTATGGCATGTGTACCAAAATGGAGGCAGGAGGTTGGGTTACTATTACATGGGCTCCCAACATTGGCATGAATCATTCTCAGGACACCTCTGAGTCTATCTGGGCCTTGATCTTTGTCTAGACACTTCCTCTCCAGCTGAGGCTGGGAAGTTGGTGCAGACACTCACAGTGTCACTCTTCAGAGCCCTGCCATTAAGGAGCCTGATTAGCAGAACCCCATGCCGGGCAGCTAATGGGTTGGAGACATTAAGCATAAATGGTTACCCAGACATTGGCATGAGCCAGAGCCCAGGAAGAAACAAATATTTTAATCTCAAAGAAACAGAAGTGTGGGAGGGGAGTTCCCTCTGCTTACTCCACATCAATTGTTCTCCCAGCCTCCACCTGTAACAGTTTCTGCTATTCTCAGGTCTTGGGATTCCCTGTCTGAGGAGGGTGAATTTATGGCAGGAGGGGAACAGACCTTCACTCACCCCGACACATGGCAATGGAAGAAATTCTCAAAGATTTACAGGGAGGGAGATTCCTGGGTCTGACTTGGCCACAACCCTATTGGTCAGGAAATCCTTGAGTTAAGCTTGTGATAACTCAAGGCCAATCTCTCTGTGGCTGGAGAATGGGGGGAAATGACTGGAACAGACAATCAGGGATGAGGCACCTTGTGACCCAAATTAGTTGCTCTAGTCCAGTGGTTCTCCCAACATGGTTGGGACCAGCAACATCAATATCATCTGAGAACTTGCCATAAATGTAAATTTTCAGTCTCTATCCCAGATCTACTGAATGAGTAAACTCTGGATGTGACAAGATTGTGTTAAAAAAAATTTTTTTTTAAGGTTTTATTTATTTTTGAGACAGAGAGAGACAGAGCATGAGCAGGGGAGGGGCAGAGAGAGAGGGAGACACAGAATCCAAAGCAGGCTCCAAGCTCCGAGCTGTCAGCACAGAGCCCGACACAGGGCTCGAACTCACAAACCGCGAGATCAGGACCTGAGCCAAAGTTGGACACTTAACTGACTGAGCCAGCCACCCAGGCACCCCGACAAGATTGTGTTAAAAAAACATTGTTTTAATAAGCCCTCCAAGTAGTTGCAATGTGTGTTTAAGTTTGAGAACCACTGCTTTTGGCTCTAGTTCAGATGGAAGGGGAATGTCAAGAGAAAGAAAAATTAGGAGAGGATGCAACAAGCAGCCTCATTAAAAGGGAAAAAAAATTCAATTCCCAGTGTGGAAAACCAAACCTAGGCCACCTTCCTCTGATCTTCTTGGGCTGTAAATGTCATAGCAATGCCTAAGTGGCCCTGCACGAAGGAGTCTGGGGAAAATAACTAACCCTGATCCTTTGCATTTTGCCAAGGGCAGGAAAGGATAATGGACAATCATTTCATGTAATATATCTTCTACTCAACTTCTCTGAGCTACCTTTTCATCCAGCTGGGCTTCCTCAAGACTCTCATCCCTCCCCTCTATCTCCCTACCCTTCTGGTCACCCCATTCATCTCATGTCTCTTTCCTCATCCAATGAATGATAACCGCTTCAAACAGTTTCTTAAGCATATGAGTAGCGAGGCCCTATTCCACAGGGAGTAAGAGGAAAAAGCCCACCATAACCTACAACTATAACCTATAAGGGGGCAGCCTTTCTTCATATCCTCTCCTCTTTCCCCATTCAGGTCACACCAGTTCATGGTGCTGCCATAAAAAAAGAGAGGAGCCACTTTTTCCATGACTTTTTATACCATACCTGAATAGGTACCTTTAGACCTTGCAAAGAAAAAAAAAAAAAAAAAAAAAGGACAAAAGTTAGGCTCCTAACCAGTCTGTAAGTTTCCTGAGGGCCAGATCTGGCCTATAGCTTATTCTCCTTTTATATCTACCATACTAGATACCCTAACACACGAGATGCCTAATGAATATTTGGTAAATTGAACTGAAGGAAATGCCCAGAAGTAAGACACTAATGAGTCTCCGCTGCCACACTAGAAATACAAGAGAGATCAAGAAATGGGTCCTCTCTGAAATGATTAGGAAGGAAACCCTGTCCTGCCACCTTTATGCCCAGGCACTGCTATCTTCATCCATTCACTCATTCAACAAGCATGTATAGCACACCTGCTCTATGTGGACCCTAGATCTCGTGTTCTAGTGGGGAGAAACAAATGTAAAGTAGGTAAACATATAATATTTCAGGTGGTGTCAATTGCCTTGGTAAAAACAAAGTAGTGTGAGGGGGCTAGGGGCAGTGGGAATTGGAGTCAAGAAAAGCTGCTGTGAGAGGCAGCATTTGAGCAGATACCAGAAGCGAGTGAAGCAGCTACACTGGCAGCTATCTGGGAGAAGAGTGCTCCAGGCAAAGGGAACAGCAACTGCCAAAGCCCTGAGGTGGGGGCATTTTGCAAGGAGTCAGCCTGGCAGGAGTGGAGTGAGCAAGGGGGAGATTGGCAGGAGATGAGATCAGAAAGAAATTGGTGCCTAGGGGCACCTGGGTGGCTCAGTCAGTAAAGCGGTTAAGCGTCCAAATGCGGCTCAGGTCATGATTTTGCAGTCTGAGTTAGAGTCCCGCGTCAGGCTCTGTGCTGACAGCTCAGAGCCTGGAGCCTGCTTAGGATTCTGTGTCTCCCTCTCTCTCTGCCCCTCCCCTGCTCGCACTGTCTCTTTCTCTCAAAAATAAACATTAAAAATTAAAAAAAAAAAAAGAAGTTGGTGTTCAAACTTCATAGGGCCTTGCAGATAATAATAAGGATTTTAGATTTCATTATGAGAAAAAAAGTCATTAGAAAGTCCTGCACAGAGGAGTGACCTATTCTCATGGTACAGGACTATTTTGGTTGTTTTGAGGACAACCTACAGGGGGTAGAGCAAAAGCAGGGAAACTACTTAGGAAGCTATGGCAGAGCCTATACATTTTTGCCCCAAATTCATTCTCTTTCCACATTTTAGCTGAGCACAAGGTTTCTCACAAAGAGAACTACATTTCCCAACCCCTCATGCAGCTAAATGTGACCATATGACAAAATGCTGGTTGATGGAATGTGAGCAGAGGGATAGGTGCGACTTTTGGGTCATGTTCTTAAAGGAAGAGGGCTGCCCTCCACTTCTTCCCTCTCCCCTCTCCACAGGCTGAAACCTCATGGGCACAATAGTGCCAGGTGGACCAGCTATCTTGGGCCACAAGATAGAAGTCACATGATGAAGATGACAGAGCCTCAAGCCCTGAGAAGCTACGGTCCCTGACAGTGTGGAAGGACTGTATCAACCTGGCTATTATGCACAGGTTCACACTGGAGAAAGAAGAAATCTTCTATCTTGTATAAAACCCTGTGTTTAGAGACCCTGAAACAGCCTAATCTATACTGAAACCAATTCAGAAGCGATTGTAATTGTCTAGGCAAGTAATGATGGTGGCTCTGATGAGGGTAAGAGTGGTGTATCTAGAGATTAGTGACGGGATTGTGGAGTAATTTAAAGGGCAGAACTTATACCATTTTCTGAGGAATTGGATAAGGGGGCACTAAAGGAAGAGAAGAACCAGGAATGACTTTGAAGTTTGGGGCCTGGTAGAATAGAGTTGCATTTATCACAAGGCAGAAGACTGGGGGACCAGTGAGTCTGAGAGGTCCATGAGTGACATTTACATGGAAATTTCAAGTAGCAGCTGGATATGAGTCTACAGTTCAGGGGAGAAGTAGGGGCTGAAGATAGTCATTTGGGATTCATCAACATACAGCTGGCTTTAATGCCCTGAGATAGATGTAATTACTTAGGGAGTGAGAGTGGATAAGGGAGAGTGCCAGGGTAGAGAGGGGGTGGTGGTGGTGATGACAGTCCCAGGTCATCGTGCAGATGTGGAAGATGCTATGGAGCCAGCACAAGAGACCATGGAGGTAGGAGAACGGAGGTAGGAGAGGTGTCATGGAAGCCAAATGAAGAGGGTGTTTTAGGAAGGAACGAGCAACCATCCATGTCAAGGTGGCTGCCCAAAAGACTAAGAGATGACCATGACTGCTGAAATTGGCAACAGGGAAGTCATGGGTCACACTGACAAGAAAATTTTCAGAGGAGCACTGAGGACAAGAGAGAGAGGAAGAATGGAAGTGAGACAACTCTGAATTCCTGGCAGGTAGAAATCATCCCAGCAACCTAACTTCCACCCTTCCTATCACAGTTGCAAACATTCTGAAGTACATGAGGACCCCTAGCAACCCTACCCAGCTCTCCCTCCCCACATGTCTGAATGACCCTCCTGTCTCTCATCTCCCAGAGTCCCCAGGTTCTGGAGCCTAGGCCTCCCTCAGCTCTGCCTCTGCCCTGCCGGCTCCCAAGGCTGCTCTCAAGGACTGCCTGGGCAAGCTAGGCAGCCAGGCCTGACTCTCTTGGATCATAATTAGTGCTGCTGCTGAGGATGTTTGGCCCCTGTGGAATAGCAACCTGGGAAATTCTGATACTTCCAATTTTCCCCCTCAGTGCTTTCCCGGATACAATTTCCCAGCCAGAGCCTGTGCTCCAGCCC